AACAGAGACTAGTTAAGGGTGAAGTGATGATGTGTGTTGGAAGTGGTTCCAAGATTGATATGATCATCATCGCACACTCCCTATACTTTCGGGATTAGTGTTGAACCTAAATAAATGTTATTTGGTGTTTGAGTTAAGCATGAATATGATTTGATCATGTTTATTGCAATACAGTTATTCATTTAAAGTCAGAGAATAATTGTTGTTATGTTTACATGAATAAAACCTTCAATGGTCATACACCCAAGGTGAATGGTTTATTGAATCTTGGTCGTAGTGATACACATATTCATAATATTGAAGCCAAAAGATGCAAAGTTAATAATGATAGTGCAACTTATTTGTGGCACTGCCGTTTGGGTCATATTGGTGTAAAGCGCATGAAGAAAATCCATATTGATGGGCTTTTGGAATCACTTGATTATGAATCAGTTGATGCATGCGAACCATGCCTCATGGTCAAGATGACTAAGACTCCGTTCTCCGGAACAATGGAGCGAGCAACAAACTTATTGGAAATAATACATATTGATGTATGCACTCCGATGAGTGTTGAGGCTCGCGGCAGGTATCGTTATTTTCTGACCTTCACAGATGATTTGAGTAAGATATGGGTATATCTTCTTGATGAAACATAAATCTGAAACATTTGAAAAGTTCAAATAATTTTAGAGTGAAGTGGAAAATCATCGTAACAAGAAAATAAAGTTTCTACGATCTGATCATGGAGGAGAATATTTGAGTTACGAGTTTGGTCTTCATTTGAAACAATGCAGAATAGTTTCGCAACTCACACCACCTCGAACACCACAGCGTAATGGTGTGTCCAAACATCGTAACCGTACTTTATTAGATATGGTGCAATATATGATGTCTCTTACCGATTTACCACTATCATTTTGGGGTTATGTATTAGAGACAGTTGCATTCACGTTAAATAGGGCACCATCTAAATCCGTTGAGACGACACCATATGAACTATGGTTTGTCGAGAAACCAAAGTTGTCATTTCTTAAAGTTTGGGGTTGCGATGCTTATGTGAAAAAGTTTTATCCTGATAAGCTCAAACCCAAATCGGAGAAATGAGTCTTCATAGGATACCCAAAGGAGATAGTTGGGTACACCTTCTATCACAGATCCGAAGGCAAGACATTCAGTGCTAAGAATGGATCTTTTCTAGAGAAGGAGATTCTCTCGAAATAAGTGAGTGGGAGGAATGTAGAACTTGATGAGGTAATTGTACCTTCTCCCAAATTGGAAAGTAGTTCATCACAGAAACTAGTTCTAGTGATCTCTACATCAGTTAGTGAGGAAGCTAATGATGATGATCATGAAACTTCAGATCAAGTTACTACCGAATCTCGTAGGACAACCAGAGTATGGTCCTCACCGGAGTGGTACGGTAATCCTTTCTGGTAGTCATGTTACTAGACCATGACGAACCTACGAGCTATGAGGAAGCGATGATGAGCCCAGATTCCGCGAAATGGCTTGAGGCCATGAAATCTGAGATGGGATCCATGTATGAGAACAAAGTATGGACTTTGATTGACTTGCACGATGATCAGTGAGTCATTAAGAATAAATGGATCTTCAAGAGGAAGACGGACGCTGATAGTAGTGTTACTATCTACAAAGCTCGAATTGTCACAAAATGTTTTCGACAAGTTCAAGGTGTTGACTACGATGAGATTTTCTCACTCGTATCGATGCTTAAAAGTCCGTCCAAATCATGTTAGCAATTGCCGCATTTTATGAAATCTGGCAAATGGATGTCAAAATTGTATTCCTTAATGGATTTCTTAAATAAGAGTTGTATATGATGCAACCAGAAGGTTTTGTCGATCCTAAAGGTGCTAACAAAGTGAGCAAGCTCCAGCAATCCATCTATGGACTGGTGCAAGCATCTCGAAGTTGGAATATATACTTTGATAAAGTGATCAAAGCATATGGTTTTAAACAGACTTGTGGTGAAGCCTATATTTACAAAAAAGTGAGTGGGAGCACTACATCATTTCTGATAAGTATATGTGAATGACATATTGTTGATCAGAAATAATGTAGAATTTTCTAGAAAGCATAAAGGAGTGTTTGAAAAGAGTTTTTCAAAGAAAGACCTCGATGGAGCTGCTTACACATTACGCATCAAGATCTATAGAGATAGATCAAGACGCTTGATAAGTTTTTTCAATGAGTACATACCTTGACAAGATTTTGAAGTAGTTCAAAATGGAACAGTCAAAGAAGGAAGTTCTTGCCTGTGTTGCAAGGTGTGAAGTTGAGTAAAGACTCAAAACCCGATCACAGCAGAAAATAGAAAGAGAATGAAAAGTCATTCCCTATGCCTCAGTCATAGGTTCTATAAAGTATGATATGATGTTTACCAGTCCCTTAGCATGATTCTGGCAAAGGAGAACAATAGTGATCTAGGAGTAGATCACTGGACAGCGGTCAAAATTATCCTTAGAGGACTAAGGAAATATTTCTCGCTTATGGAGGTGATAAAAGAGTTCGTCGTAAAGAGTTACGTTGATGCAAACTTTTTACATCGATGTAGATGACTCTAAGTCTCAATCTGGACACATATTGAAAGTGGGAGCAATTAGCTAGAGTAGCTCCGTGCAGAGCATTGTAGACATAGAAATTTGCGAAGTACATACGGATCTGAATGTTGCAGACCCGTAGACTAAACTTCTCTCACAAGCAAAACATGATCACTCTTTGGGTTTTAATCACATAGCGATGTGAACTAGATTATTGACTCTAGCAAACCCTTTGGGTGTTAGTCACATGGAGATGTGAACTAATCACATATAGATGTGAACTATCGGTGCTAAATCACATGACAATGTGAACTAGATTATTGACTCGAGTGCAAGTGGGAGACTGAAGGAAATATGCCCTAGAGGCAATAATAAAGTTATTATTTATTTCTTTTTTCATGATAAATGTTTATTATTCTTGCTAGAATTGTATTAACCGGAAACTTAGTACATGTGTGAATACATAGACAAACAGAGTGTCACTAGTATGCCTCTACTTTACTAGCTCATTAAACAAAGATAGTTAAGTTTCCTAACCATAGACATGAGTTGTCATTTGACTAACGGGATCACATCATTAGGAGAATGATGTGATTGACTTGACCCATTCTGTTAGCTTAGAACTTGATCGTTTAGTTTACTTTTATTGCTTTCTTCATGACTTATACATGTTCCTATGACTATGAGATTATGTAACTCCCGAATACCGGAGGAACACTTTGTGTGCTACCAAACGTCACAACGTAACTGTATGATTATAAAGGTGCTCTACGGGTGTCTCCGATGGTGTTCGTGGAGTTGACATAGATCAAGAATAGGATTTGTCACTCCGATTGTCAGAGAGGTATCTCTGGGCCCTCTCGGTAATGCACATCACTATAAGCCTAGCAAGCAATGTGACTAATGAGTTAGTTGCAGGATGATGCATTACGGAACGAATAAAGAGACTTGTCAGTAACGAGATTGAACTAGGTATTGAGATACCGATGATCGAATCTCGGGCAAGTAACATACCGATGACAAAGGGAACAACGTATGTTGTTATGCGGTTTGACCGATAAAGATCTTCGTAGAATATGTAGGAGCCAATATGAACATCGAGGTTCCGGTATTGGTTATTGACCGGAGACGTGTCTCGGTCATGTCTACATAGTTCTCGAACCCGTAGGGTTCGCACGCTTAACGTTCGGTGATGATCGGTATTATGAGTTTATGTAATTTGATGTACATAAGGTAGTTTGGAGTCCCGGATGAGATCGGGGACATGACGAGGAGTCTCGAAATGGTCGATACATAAAGACCGATATATTGGACGACTATATTCGGACATCGAAAAGGTTCCGAGTGATTCGAGTATTTTTTAGAGTACCGGGGAGTAACGGGAATACAAGGAAGAAGTATTGGGCCTCATGGGCAAAGTGGTGGAAGAGAGGAGGCAAGGCGTGCGGCCCCCCTAGCCCAAACCGAATTGGACTAGGGGGCCGGGCCCCCTTTCCTCCCTCTCCTTCCTTCTCCCCTTCCCCCTTCCTTTCCTCCTCCTAATAGGAGTAGGAAAGGGGAGTCCTACTCCTACTAGGAGGAGGACTCCTCCTGGAGCGCCCTACAGGCCGGCCGGCCTCCCCCTTGCTCCTTTATATACGGGGGCAGGGGGGCACCCTAGAACACACAAGTTGATTTGTTGATCTCTTCCAGCCGTGTGCGGTGCCCCCCTCCACCATAATCCACCTCGATTATATCGTAGCGATGCGTAGGCGAAGCCCTGCATCGGTAGAATCATCATCACCGTCATCACGCCATCGTGCTGACAAAACTCTCCCATAAAGCTATGCTGGATCGAAATTCATGGGACGTCATCAAGCTGAACGTGTGCTGGACTCGGAGGTGTCGTGCGTTCGGTACTTGGATCGGTCGGATCGTGAAAACGTACGACTACATCAACCGCGTTGTGCTAACGCTTCCGCTTTCGGTCTACGAGGATACATGGACACACTCTCCCTCTCGTTGCTATGCATCACCATGATCCCGTGTGTGCGTAGGATTTTTTTTGAAATTACTACGTTCCCCAACAAGGTGCATATCCAATGGCTAGGAAGAAAGGGCCAAAAATAAAACAAGCCATATATTTCTTTAAAACACCTATGTCTACACAAAGAATTAGACCCAATTTATTTCACTTATTACATCACAATGAAAAGAACATGAGTCCAAAATAGTGAAATAGCATAGAGAAATACTACAATCAAAACATACGAGCGGTCATTGTAAGCCACATTGATCCGATGAATGGCATAAAAAAATATAAATCAAATATTATTGAAGGGGGGATTGTTGACCTGGTAGCGACGGTATCTTCCTAGCAGAACCATGAGACTACCAAAAATCCTAATGTACTGAAAATACATCCTTGCCAATTTCTTCAATAAAATAAATGGCCTTTTCGACCAGCAATCTTCTTCTTCATAATGTACCTGGGCACGTAAAGAGACAAAATTATCAATGAAATATCTGCAGCACAAACTGAACCAGTCAAATGCAGTTTTGGCTAAAGACTTTGCTGATAATAAACTGTATCAAAGAAATGGCCTTTTGGACCAACATAGGAATGCAACATAGGTTTCTCAACTTGGAATGGAAGAGCTCTTCATAAATCTAACAAACTAAACAAAATCAAAAGAATGAGAGAGCCATGGGGCTCACCAAAGACATGGAGGCGATCAGCACCCAATGACCATATGCAAGGTCGCTGCAGCGAGGATAAAGTAAACAATATGCAGGCATAGAATCTGTGGCTTGAGCAAGAAAATAAAAAAATACTATCAAAAGGGGGAAACACAAACCTTAGAGGGAAAGGTAGGTTCACCAACAAAATGGAGGCGACGTTGATGAAATCTCTGTCAACGCATGCGAACCTAAAGCAAAGTAAAAACAAATGTGCATCAACATATATTAACATGTTACTTGGGAGTTGGGATTTGCTTCATCCTTCAAACCCAACACTTGAATTTGTAACCTTCAGGGATGAGCAATTTATGAAAGCATATCTCTCTCTAATTTATCAAATTCTTCTTTCTTATAATTGGAGAATCTGTATATTCGAATGAATAATTGGAGAAGGGTTGGCCTGCTCAAACCTAACATGATGTGTGTGGAGAGAGAGAGAGAGAGAGAGAGAGAGAGCCATATCTCAGCACCAACACGATGCTGGGGGGAGCCTTCTTCTAGAACCACCAATCTATTTGTTTTCCTAACATATGCTTTTATGGCAGCTCTATACAGTGGCCTGATTGATCGAAGGTTGATTACCTATTAAACCATATGAGTAGAAAATAAGTTAGTATTCATGGCATGTACCACGTAGAAAAATCATATCGATAGTTACACTGAAAATATATTTTACGAAAGAAGTTACCTCGGCACTGATTCCTTCCTTGGACAACATTCAACATCCTGTAAACAAACTGAGCATTATAATATGTCAAAAAAAATGCTGAGAGAGTAATTCAATCCAGCAATAGAACATTCTATATTAGGACAAAAATACAGAAGAAAACCACAATTTCCAAAAGGGCATTTTGCATATCAATTTATCAAATAGAAAAGGCATATCAATGCAGCACATTAAAATCCTTTCGGAAAAGAAGATGTGTCAAATCCTAAACAACATTAATCTTCCTCCCATGTTGTTTTACCAACTATAGCATGACTCACATTCCTGATTGGATGGACGTCCATTATGAAAAACAAGAACAAAACCACAAGCGAGCACACTGAACAATTTAATGGTGAGTCAGACACAAACTTCATAAGCCAGAATATTCTCCATCAAGGAGGCAGGATCATCCTACGTTATATGGTGGAGTTTCAGAGCCACACCACAAGCTTCTCCTTCCATTAACCATCCCATGGACGGCGGCGGCGGATGGAGGTTGAAGATGCAGTCGACGGGGGAGGTGAGGAGAATGAAGATGCAGCGACGGACATCCGTGGACGCAGCAACTCGCGACCTCGAACTTGACCGCCTCGCGCAGCACCGCCGCCTTGTTAATTACCCGTCAACATTACTTGCCCGTCAATTTTGGCACATACATACTTGCATAGTCTTCTGCTCCTCTGTCAGCATTTTGCCAGCCCAATTCGTGCCAGCATGAATAACCAACTTCAGTTAAGGGCACTGTACAAAAGTAGGCACATTATTAGATCAGAAGTGGTACAGAATAAACACGGATACATACGTAGTTCCTAATATTGATTAGATATTAAAGCAAGAACGTAATTTTCACACCAAGTATGTCCCTACGGAAAATGTGCATCAAAAGATAAGAGAATTTTCATGGACATGAAACAAATTAAATCTGACTGAATCCATTTATATAATTTATATGTACCAACTATGTATGGCTGATGTATTAGAATAGGTCCATTGAAGGATCTGTTCATCGGAACGGAACAAAATCTATATTGATCCTTATATATTGTCCAAATTTCTATATAAGGACCCAATAGAAATTGCACACCTTTAGCTTGCAGTGCAGATTATAGAAATTAACTGCGAGCGACATTCTCCAACATGGCAAGATCAGCAATAGAAGAAGTATAGAATCATGTAACTTTTATTCCAACATGGCGGGACGGCAGCAACCGTTTCATATTTCAGCACCGATGGGCTCATCTTGATGCAGACAAGTACACTCGCGTTGTTTGTAAGTATCCCGATATATCTCAATATTAGCAAGGGGTTCACATGGCCTCGATCTTGATATGCTTCTCTCCCTCACGATCCGAACGAGGGGGGGCGTACCTGAGGGAGGAAGGCAATCGCATGGTGGCAGACGCGGACGGAATCCGATGGCGGGAGCGCGGGGCACGGTGCATGATGGTTGGTTGTTTGGGTGACTCCAGAAAGAAGGGAGCTGCAGCAGGCCCTTGGAAAAGGGCGCCCATTGCAGGCGCCGCCGCTACCCCGAGGCCACCTGCGTCTGCGCATCTGCGGCTACCTCGGCCATCTCCTTTCTACAAGATCATGGGTGAGGCATGGGTTGCGTAGGCGGCGGTGAGGTGGTGAACTGTGTATAAACTTCAGATATACCTATATCCGCAATGATCTCGTCGGCGGCTCCTCAACGGGGATCAACGCTGGCTCAAGGGATCGGCGTCGGCTCCTGAAGGGGATCGGCATCGGATCCTAGGCGTGATCGGCGGCGGCTCCTCAACGGGATCGTCCTCGTAGCAAGACGATCGATGGCTCCCATCGACGTAGCGCAGGGATCAGCGGCGGCTTGATGTGCGAGGGCAGCGACGAAGGGATGCGAGTGCGAGGGCGGTGGCGATGGGATCTGGTGTGGCGTCGCTCGAGGGCACCCTGGAGGCTTCGCTCGTTCGCACGTTACGAGGAAGCGATTTTTTCGTTGATCTTCTTTCGTCGGCTTTTTTTCGTTCGATTTTCTTACTTGCGAGGGTAGTACCTGGAGGCATCGCTCCCTCGTAAAGTGGGTTTGTTTGGCGTGCGAGGGATTACGTGAGAGGTGGGAGGAAAGACGAAAAAACCCAGCAAAAGGTGGGACAAAAATAAATCTTGAAGACTATTTACCAACTCAGACATTAGGGGCGTGTTTGGCTTCCTGCATTAGGCCCAGTCTGGCCCGGGCGGGAAGAATTTGGCCCGTTTGGTTTCCTGCATTCACTGTGCGGCCCGCATCGCACGAAACTTAAAGCACGTCCAGGCCAGGCCCAGGGGAAACGCACGAATTGGCAGTAGCTCGCGAGCCTGCCTCGGGCAAGGTAGGGGAGGGCGACGCGCTTCGCCCCTCATGCGAGCAGGGGAGATGGCGCGAGCTCGCCCGCGTCGCCGAAAAATCGGCGGGAGGATTTCGGCTCACCTTCCGCCGCTCCACCCCTATTTAGCCCCTCACTCACCGCCCCAACTCCCGCCACCATTCTTCCTCCGTTCGCGCTTTCCCGCCGACGCGCATCGGCACCGACGAGCAGGTAAGCGGCACATCTTCATCGACTGGCGGTCCACGGCGTCGGAGCTCCTTCACCGGCCGGCGTTCATCTTCCACCACCGTCCCCCCTCGTCCTCAAGCTGCAGCCATGGCCTCTGTGAGTTTAATCCCCCTTTCTCCCTGTTCCTTCTAGCTAGATCTGAGCTGCAGCTAGGGTTTGATCTAGATGCATGGTTGATTAGTGGTCTGATCTATGAGCTGATATGGTTGGTTGCTACGCTGTTGCAATTTGTGGTAGGGCTAGATGTTCAAGCATGTGGTAGACTAGATTAGTAGTAGAGTTTGAAGTTGAACCTTGTACTTGTGTTGAATCATGCTTAAATCTGTTATTTGTAGCTATTGGTGGTCCATTTGTAGCATGCTGTTTGTTGTAGATGTATGTTCATGTTCATAGATTTGTCTGGTATGCTTACTATGATAGTGATGAAGCATGTGATTGCTATGATAGTGATGAACCATGTACATGTATGCTCCTGCTTTCATGGATTGTCCGGTATGTTGTGTGTTGTGCTCACTGTCAATGCGTGCTACGATTGTAGGACATGACCACGCAGACGCAAGGTCTTAGTCAGGCCCTTGTCGTGTCCGACAGCCAGTTTGCTCCATCGTTTGTCGAGGACTCGCAGCCTATGTCCGAGATTGTCGTGGAATTGTCACGGCAGATGTCCTTTTGCAAGGACTTAATCGTGGAGCCATCGCAACTAGGAAGCTTAAAGGGGTTAATCGGGACAAGGACACGCGAGGTTTATACTAGTTCAGCCCCTTACGGTGAAGGAAGGCCTACGTCTAGTTGGGTTGGAATTGCTTGAGGTTTCGATGACCAGGGAGCGAGATACGCTATGCCTGGCTCTCGATCAGTTGTTTTTCTCCCTAAGCCGCTGGCGGGTCATCCCCTTATATACATGGGTTGACGCCCTGCGGCCTACAGAGTCCCGGCCAGCTCATAAACAGTGTCCGGCTCGGCGACTAGTTACTTCTACCTTACAGTACAAGTTATACCATCATGGCGGTTTATCTTTACGGGCCTCAGAGTCGCCTGTGGGCCTTTAAGCCTTTTAGTGAACCGCCATCTTCATGCCTTGGTCTTGGGCTTCTGATGAACCTCTATTTGCATAACCCGGCCCCTCCTGGATGGCTTACACAAATAGTCGTATCCCCAACATTAGGCCCCAGATTGATTTGAACCGGTTCATGTCAATCTTTGAAAACCTTATGAACTGGCCTTTAGTCTTCTGTCTTGCGTGAAAATTGTAACCCGCCGTGACGTCATCCTTTGGCTCCGAGTTAAATCATCGTGACGTCATCTTCAATAAAACTTATATTTTAATTCATCATATCTTCAACAAATCTTTGCCTTTACTGACCCTCCCGAAAATCGAGGCGTCGGGGCCGCTGGATAATGATGTCTTGGTCTCCTCATTTCTCGCGCCGTCTCAGTCGGTCCTCCTTATAAATAGGCGCGACCTAGGTCTTTTTCATTTCCTCCGGTCGTCTTCTTCCTCGCACTCCCTCTTCTGCCGCTCGAGCTCCGCCGCCGCCACCGTCGGAAACCTCGTCTTCACCGACTCAGGCCGCTGCATCACCCTGTTTTTTGACCAGAGAACAACGGCGACCCTCCGCAGTTCTTCCACATCGGTGAGTTCTCTTCCCCCCCTTTCTCAGATCTGCATTAGTACTGTCTTGAGTTCGTCGACGTTCATCATCGCCCGACGCAACCTCCATTAGTTCTTACCTCTAATACCTTGTTCAGATCGTAAAAACCACATAGAACTGCTGCGGAGGATGTTGTATGCTTAGTCTGTATGAAAACAGATCTCATTTCCTTGTTTTGGAAGCCCTCCTTGAGTATATGAACTTCCCTGTACTGTTTTAGGTCTAGAAGTTTTTCCTTTCCAGAGCATCGTTTGATCCAAAATAATAATTGCAATTTGTGAAACCTATTTGCTCCACA